CACGGTTTTAGTTTTAATTTATAAAGAGAATCAAACGAGCTCATCAGATTAATTGACATATTCTATATATAAAAATCCACATGGAAGAACGAAGATTAAGATTGGAGACATTCTTTATTTCTTCAAAACTATTTTTTCCCACATTAATTTCTTAACTTATCACATATTATTATATGACACAGCTTGTTCATGGTATATCACAAATTTCTTATGTAAAAATATACCATCTCTCTTCTTCTGTCTTCTTCTCTGAGAAAACTCTAACTCTCTCAAAAATATCCAAAATTCAATCTGACACTAGCCCTTGAACTACCGGCTTCAACTCTACAAAAGTTTTCTAACTTTGACACTTGGTAGCCCCTCATTCGTCGGCAATCAAATTACCCATCTTGTAAATAGTAAAAAATGTTAACTCAAACCGGAGAGGCTGCCAGGTCCCGATTGGACCAGTCCAAGTGGCCAGTCCAGTCCTAGTTTTAAAATGGTGAGTTACTGCACAATCAAAATATGCAGTTTCATTTGTTTAAGAAGGGAAGTTTAGCTTTCTGAAATATTCTTAAAGGCATTCATATATATTATCAAATCGAAAGAACATTATTTATAATATAAACAAATATCCTTTTCATATTTCTCAATAGATCGGGGGTATATAAATTAATCTGATTTCTTGACAAACTCAACTTATAATTAAGTGCAGTACGTAGTTAACTGGTTCTGTTTCTTAGGTTGAACGGTTCTTTACAAAGTCCACACGGTTAATGTATATTTATATATACATAGATCCATAGAAAAGGAGATAGCACATGCTATCATATATATTACGTACTATAATCCACAAATGATGTGAGGAGTTCAAGGTATGGTTTCGCAGATCACGCACAAGGCCAGGTCGCAGATATTTAACAGGTTCATGGTTCTTGATCAAAGGGCCAGCCATTAATTTGTTAGTGTGAACAGGTTATAAGCAAAGACGAAACTGTGATCAAAAGTCCACCCGGATTTAGTTCCTAATGTAGAGGGAGAATCAAACAAGTAATAAGTTCATCAGATTAATTGAATCAAATAACACGCACCTGCTACTCACATAATTAATGTAAAGAGTTGACATTATCTGCGTTGCTTCACATGGCTTAATTTTCATATATACAATAATGTGCATGTATATACATTTTTACTCACCAGGTTTAGACCACCTTCAACTTCAGCTGTATTTTACTTTACCAATGGCATTGTTCCGAGACTAATTTTAATGAGAGAAACACAAGAAAGGAAGATTAAGATTGGAGACATTCTTTATTTCTTGAAAACTATTTCTTCCCACGTTAATTACTTAACTTATCAACCTACTTTGTTTAAAATAATCACATATTATATTATGACACAGCTTGTTTCATGGTCCATAAAATTGTTATTCTATCACAAATTTCTTACATAAAAATATACATCTCTTTACTTCTCTCTTATTCTCTCAGAACACCCTCTTAACTCTCTCAAATTCTCTCAAAAATTCAATTCTGAACGTTCTTAGTGTGTTGAGGTAAGTACATTAACTACAAGTATTTACATATTTGTTTTTCATTATGTTTTGGTTTTTTGATTTATTATTGTTCATATTTACATTTCATAGTAAAATGATAGATGACAACCATAAGAAAATATTAAGTGTAGATATAGACTGAGACAGGCTTGATTAATTTTATCTTGGGGGAATCTCTGCTTCAATTTACTTAATTGTGTTAAGGTAAATTGATTGCAAGTATTTAAATGTTTATATTTACTTTTATTATTACAAATATTTAAATGTTTATTATCACTTGTGCTAAGGTAATAATAAACATTCACTTACATCCCGTCATTTGCTTTTTTTTTTTTTTTTTTCCCCCCTTAAAGAAACATGTTTAAAATCTTAAAAATTTTAGGACATATAATTTCATGATATGTCCAAAATCTTGTAGTGGTTGGAAAAAAAATTGTTTTCATAAGGCATATGAAACTCATGATCATGTATTTTTTATTTTGTATATATACGTACCTCAAGACTCTTGGTATCATTTTTCTTTTTTTTTTATTCTTTTCATCATTTGTTAATCATTTTATTGTTAGGTCCTATTTTATTATTGGGACATGACACTGCAATATATTAAATGCCTGCAGTCGATATTCATGGGAAGCTCCACTAACTACTTTTAATTTATAAAGAGAATAAAAATGAAGAATACTAAGAAAATATTAAGGGTAGTTATAGACTGAGACAAGCTTAATTAATTTTATCATTCATTTTTGATACCATTCATGGTTATTTGTGTCCATTTTTTATTAATTTTTTTTTTTCAGAGAAGAGACGAAGTCACCTGTCCAAATGACTTCCTCCGAATTTATTAAAAGGCCTCACTTGTGGCGGAGGAAAACCATGGTAACAAGCAGGATACCTGGGATTTACAGAACCCTCCCAAATATCAAAATTATAAAGAAAAAACAACACAAAACAAAACAAAACGAACAAGCCTAAACCAAAGAAAAACCCAAAAAGTCAAGTTACCATCTAAACTGAGGCAAACCCGCCTTATCCAACCGAAGAATGCGTTTCAAATTACGAGGCAAAGAATTAAAATCCAAAAAAGTATTATTATTACCCTCCTCGCCCCATCTAGCGAGGAAATCTGCTGCGCTATTCCCTTCGCGTAATTAATGATTAATGGTGAAATATACGTCTCTTAACAGTATCAAAAGATCATCCCAATAGTCCCATAAGTAACAAGCCGTGTACTTTCGACTACTCAACCAAGATACAATCAAAGTGGAGTCGCTCTCAATATTTATATGATTAAAACCCAACTCTTTACACAAAGAAATACCAGCTAGTAACGCCCTCAATTCAGCCTCATTATTTGTGCCATGCCCGAAAGAAGAAGAGAAAGCCCCTTTGAAAATACCTCGCACATCTCGAATGACACCTCCTCCCCCACAGCTACCCAGGTTGCCCCAACAACATCCATCTACATTCAATTTAATCCACCCTTCAGCCGGTTTCCTCCAATAAACCAGTTTCGAAATAGCCCTTGCTCTATCAACATAAGGCACTTCAAGAGCCCGAAGAATAACCTCATCCCTAGCAGAGATAGGCCACTGTTTTACCATAAGAGAGGAAATCTTACGTATCCATACTTTCACTAGAAACCAAACATTATCCACCGATTCAGCTGAGTTCTCCATGTGAACCTTGCAACGATGCAGCCAGAGACGCTAGGTAATGATAGACGGGATGAGACCGAGAAGAACCCCTATGTGACTTGACTTCTTGGAAACATTAAACCACTGCATCACAGTCGACCACCAAGAAAGACCATAGACATGATTAATACCCAGAGTGATAGTTGTAGTCTTCCATACCTCCGCAGCAATACTCCCATTACAAAGCACATGATTTAAGCTTTCTGTGTGGCCATGAGTGCAGCAATTACATCGAGATGCCAACGGGATTCCAAGTGATTGCACCCGAGAATCCAACGCCTGCCCATTAAAACGAGCGTTCCACATACACATAGAAATTTTCTTCAATAGAAGGTGATGCCAAATCTAGTCCATGCCCAGATGTTTAGTGCCTTTCACACGGATTAGATCCCACGCAGAAGCCAACGTAAAATCTCCCTTAATATCTGGTTTCCAAATGGTAATATCAGTTCCCACCTTACCAGCCACCACACCGTTCATAATCTCCTCTGTTTTGTCTAAACCGACCAGTTCCACCAGATAATTCTCATCCCAGGAACCATCAACCCATACATCTTTAATTGTGATTCGAGAATGCCCTAAATCTCTACTGGCACATAAAGGCCCACTCGCCAACCACTGATCAAACCAAAAGGAGGAGCTGCCCTCTCTCACCTTTACAATCACATTTTTTGGCCATATCAGGAAGCACATTCATAATAGACTTCCAGAAACGGGAAGCATTTCTTCTAGTCTCAGCAAAGAAAATGTGGCCGTGTTTCACATATTTCGCATGGAAAAACTTGGTCCAAAGATTATCAACAGTTACCAATCTCCAAGCAAATTTCATGGTTATTTGTGTCTGTGTTTGTTAAAATTTTCTCTCATATTCGCTCAGTCTTTCCAGCTCTAACTCTGAAATTCTGTAGAAATCTCTACTTCAATTTTTGCTAAATAATCAGTTTTACAAAGGGTATCTTTTTCCATAGTTACATTCACAAATGACAGTCGTTGGTTCAAGCATTTGGTGAGAACATTATCTCTCAAATGACGTTCTTGTATTATTAGGCCATATTATTTATAAGCTTGTAGTGGTTTCTATACGAAATGTGAAGCGAGCAACCGGCGGTTGTTTGGGTTGAAATGTTCTGTAGTAGCCAGTTTAGATTTGTTAATGGCAGTCTTTGCCATCTCTATTGGGAAATGTATTTGCTCTGATTCCCTTCTGCCTATCTTACATTTGCACCACTAATCTCTTTCTGCAAATCGCAATTGGCATTCTGGGAATGGATATTTGGTTTTATTAATACATCATTATAATCATAATGAAGCTTAGTTGAGAGCATCTTATTATTGAATCCAAGATCAGGGCGCCTTAATTAATTATATTTAAATGTATGTTCTACATCTGCCATTTGAACAAGTCTAAGAATTTAATTCGCCTTCAAATAATGCAATAGTTCTTGGTTATTGAGAGGGCCAACCATTAATTTTTTAGCCTGAACAAATATTAAAGATACCTGGTTCTTGGATCATGTGATCAAAGTAAATTTGCAGTTCACCGACTTCACATGGAACAGTAACATGAACATTAACTAAGAATAGAGTCATTATTTATTTCTTTAAAACAATTAATATATTATTATCTGACAGCTAGTTTTCTCACATATTAAATCCTTTGTATTTAAATTTCACTCAAATAAATGTTTAATCAAGCACTTTTTCTTATTGTTTGAATTTTGTTTATGGCTGTTTTCTGATCATCATCCTTTCCGCAGACGACCAAAACCATGCCTGTAGGGGAGCTCTTTCTCTCTGCTTTCGTTTCGGTGTTGTTTGAGAGATTGACATCGCCGGAGTTGCTGCAGTTTGCGAGTGAAGAGGGGATACGGTCAAAGCTGAAAAAGTGGGAGAAAAACTTCAGGTGGATTGAGGCAGTGCTCAGCGGCTTGGAGGACAAGCAACTTGATCCCAAGGACTCTGTTTCTGAAATGTGGCTGGAAGATCTCCGAGACTTGGTTTATGATGTCGAGGATATACTGGATGAGTTCGCTACTGATACTTTAGGGCGTAAATTGACGGCAGAACGTCATCCTAGCATCAGCAGGGTACAGAATTGCATCCCAGATTGTTTCACTGGTTTGACTCCACATGCTATCAAGTTCAATGCCAGTTTGAGGTCCAAGATAGAAGAGATCGATTTGGGGTTGGAAGATCTCGATGCAAGAATAAGATTTCTTGCGTTAACCAGAGCGAATTTCGGATGCCCATCAGCTGCTGCATACCCAAAGCCAACCAGTGGATGGCTGCCAATTGAACCTGCCATTTGTGGGAGGGATGATGATAAAGCCAAAATCCTTGAAATTGTGTTTCAGGATGAACCAGGTGATGACAAGTTTCGCATAATACCCATCATCGGCATGGGAGGAATTGGCAAAACAACACTAGCTTGGGAGGTGTACAATGATAAAGCAGTGAACAATTTCCACCCAAGAGCATGGGTTTGCATCGCCAGTGACTTTGATGCTCTAGGAATCTCCAAGGCAATTATTGAGTCGATCACTTCCAAGTCTTGTGATGAAGAGACTTCGGGTCGAGTTTATGGAAAACTGAAAGATGAACTTGACCGGAAAAAATTCTTGCTTATTTTGGATGATGTATGGAACAAGAACTACTGCGACTGGGAGTACCTGAAATCTGCCTTTAAAGTTGGAGCACCAGGGAGTAGAATAATTGTGACTACTCTTGACTTCGAAGTTGTATCAGCCATGACTGGATCCAATGAAGGTCACAGTTTAAAGCCCCTGTCAGATGATGATTGTTGGTCCGTATTTGCTAAGCATGCATTCCAGACTAGAGGTATTGGTGCAGTTTCAAATTTGGACTGGAAACGTGAGAAAGTTATTGCCATGTGCGGAGGCTTGCCCTTGGCTGCAACAATTCTTGGTGGTCTTCTCTACACCAAGCAAAGACGTGATGAATGGGAAGATATATTAAGCAAAAACTGGAACTCATTTGATGAAGGTGACAAAATTCTCTCAGTATTAAAACTAAGCTACTACCATCTTCCTTCACATATAAAAAGATGCTTTGGATATTGTGCTATTTTACCAAAAAACTTAGTTCGTGGAGAAGCAACTTGTCTTTTTATGGATGTCAGAAGGTCTTATTCAACCATCAAATAACAAGCCACCAGAAGAGGAAGGTGGTAAGTACTTTCGAGAGTTAGTGTCAAGATCAATTTTTCAACAATTAAGTAGGGATAACACCAAATTTGTAATGCACGATCTTGGCAATGATCTAGCTCAACAAGTTTCTGGAAAAACATGTTTCATGCTAAAAGATGAATTGGTCACTAGGAAGATATTGGGGATTCGTCACTCTTCTTATGTTTGTGGTATTTATGATGACAAAAAGAAATTTGAAGTCTTCCATAAAGTCAAGCGTTTGAGGACATTCTAACCGATGCAACTATATGAAGATGGTACTCGTTACATAACTTCAATGTTTCTTTATGAATTGATGCCGAAGTTAAAAAAATTGAGAGTGCTATCTTTAACAACATATTACATCACTAAGCTACCAGATTCATTAGGAGGCTTGATACATTTAAGTTACCTCAACCTATCTCAAACTAAGATTAGACATTTACCTAAGTCAACATGTTCGTTGTACAACTTGCAGATTTTGTTACTAGCAGATTGTTGCTATCTCTTAAAGCTACCTTCCAAGATGAAGAATTTGATCAATCTACGCCATCTTGATATATCAGGTGCAAATTCAATATCAGAGATGCCTTTAGGAATGAAAGATTTGACATGCCTCCAAACATTATCTAATTTTATTGTGGGGAAAAATACTGGATCTGATTTAGAAGATTTAATGTGTTTAAAGGATCTTCGTGAAAAGCTTTGTATCTCAAAGCTAGAGAATTCACAGGAACCAACAACATTCGTATTGAGAGATATGCGTCACCTAAAATTTTTGGTGCTAGAATGGAGTCCTGAACTTGATCATCCACGAATTAATGCAGAAGAAGAAACGGTACTTGAATGGCTGCAACCTCACGAAAATCTGGAAGAACTCACGATCAAATGCTATGCCGGTACAAAATTTCCACCTTGGGTTGGGAATCCCTCGTTACACTCGAAACCAATGGTACTAAGGATCCTAAGGTTGGAGAATTGCAAAAATTGCACTTCTTTGCCTTCATTGGGGTTGTTTACATCGCTAGAAGAACTCATCATCAAAAACATGTCAGGAATCAGAAGGATTGGTTTTGAGATATATGGGCAATCGTTGGTGAATCTTTCTTTTGAGGGTATGAAAGAATGGGAACATTGGGATCCTATTGGCGAAAATGAGCATGTTGAAAGATTCCCTTGTCTTCGAAAGCTTTCCATAAAAAATGGCCCCAAACTCTGTGGAGCACCATTTAATCATCTTCAGTCATTGGAGAAACTGGTGGTGTATAAATGTGGGCAGTTGGTGGTTTCCTTCTCAAGCTTTCCAAGGCTGTGCAAACTGCAAATTAGATATAGATGGCTGCAAAAAGATGGCGTGCAGCAGTCTAACTGATTCCAAATCACTGAAGTCTATGACTCATTCAGATTTTTCTGGGTATGGAAATTGGTTAAGACAAGAGCCATCTATCCTCCCCTCCCTCCAAAAGCTATGTATTCAAAATTGCGAGGCTTTAACATCCTTACCTGAAGGCCTGGAGAATTTTTCTCATCTTGAATACTTAGATATCTTTGATTGTGATTTTCTACTATCCATTGTCAGAGACCAGTTGCCCTCTTCACTAAGAAGATTCTCAGTATTAAATTGTAAGAATCTGCTATCTCTGTTCGATGGCAGAAAGGGGTCGTCTTCTTCAGCGAGTAATGAGTCCAAACTCGAAAATTTGTCCATCTCCAACTGCCCAGCAATTATTTCTCTATAAACTTTATAGCATAAAGTGTGTTTATCCTCTGTTTGGCAAAGGTTTAATAGAGACTTGAAAGTATGGTGCTGTAATAGATAAGATCAATTTATGGCATCTTGATATTACCGGTGTCAATTTACTCAGAGAAATACCAACGGGAATGAAAGAATTGGAATGTTGTAGAACATTACTCAATTTTATTGTAGGCGAAGGTGTAGGCTCTGATTTGAGAAAACTTAAAGTTTCTTCGTGAGCTTTACATTTCAAGATTACACAATGTAACTGGTTCACATGATACAAAGGACTCCATAGTAATTGATAAGAAGGGCCTAAAAGTGCTGGTACTAGAGTGAGACTCTCAGTTGGATGACACTCGAGATGAGTTAGTGGAAGAAAATGTACTGGACACTTTCCAACCTAACCAAAATCTGAAAGAACTCACAATCAAAGGCTACGCCGGCACAAGATTTTAATTGAGGGTTGGAGATCCAACATATTCAAACATAGTAGTGTCAACATTGGAAAGATGTGAAAAATGCACAGTATTGCCTTCACTTGGATGGTCGGGCTCACTTGCACACTTCACCAACAAAGGAATGAAGAGGAGTAGAAGTATAGGTCCTAAGATTTTCAGAAAAGATTGCTTAACTCTTTTTAAATCAGTGAAGACTCTTTGTTTTGAGGATTTGCAAGAATGGGCGAATTGGGATTCTGTTGAAGAAAATGAGCATGTTGAAATATTCCCTTGATTGCATCAGTTATCCCTTGTGAAATGCCCCAAACCTTGTGGAAAATTACCCGAAATTGACTATCATTTGTTTAAACTTAGAATTCAAGAATGTGGGGTGTTAGAGGTTTTGTTCACAAGACTTCCATGGTTTTGCGAAGCATAAATAGATGAGGCAAGGTGTTGTGCGGTACTTAACTCTGTTACAAATATTTCAGATATCCGTAATTGAATATTAAGGTAAGGTCTTCATTTTCTGAAACTCTTTTATCTCAATTGAATAAGGTAAGGTTGTCATTTTGTTATTAATTTCTTAGTATACTACATACTTAATCTTCACGTAAATGAATGTTTACTGAATATTTTATACACACCTGTCGGATTTCTTCATTGCCCCCGAGAAGAGAATGTGTGATCTAGATCCAGTTATTACATTGTGATCTCTTCAACTATGTGTTGTTTCTAATTTAAATCTTATTTGATATAGTATGACATGATATTTAAATCTTTCACTTCAAACTTGTAGTAAGTCACTAATACATTAGTTCAACTCATTTAAGTGGGTCATGACATCTTTGATGATTTAAGCAGAAAGAGGCTAGAAGTTTTGAATATTATTAAAGCGTCCATGACCATGAATATAATCAAGCTCTGGCTCAATTTCATCCTTGTCCTTTTGTGTGACATGCAGTTAATCATGGATCTATTCGGGTGTGTTCTTTCTTTGTTTTCTTCTCTGTGTTGAAATTCTCAGTACATCTTAGCATTGTGATTAATGATATTCTATTTTGAGTCTTCGAGATTGGATGTAGATTGCAAAGCCGAAGCACTATAAATTTGTTGTCTCCTGTACCTTTTGCTCTTTCATTTCAATTTATATGCTTAGAGTGATTTGGGTTAGAGTATTCTAATTTTCAAATCTGATTTGTCATTTTGATTCCATTATTAAGCCATTTGTGATAATTCTATAAATCCTAGAATCTTAACACTTACAAATGTCGTAACAAGGAAACAAATTAATTTTGTATCGGAAGCTTTGAAATTTTAAAAGCATACATGAAGATCAATATATAGGCTTTCACTCTGTCTTTCTCACATTCCTCTCTTTCTCTTGACAGTTCTACAGATGAAGCTTGCTGGTCCGTCTTTCAAATGCATGCAGTTGGTTTGGATTATGGGGATTTACAATTAATTCATGAAAAAGTTATTGATATGTGTAAAGGCTTATCCTTGGGAGCGTGTATTCTTGGTGGCCTTATAAGATTTAAGCGCCATGATGAATGGAAATATGTATTGAATGCTAAAATATGGGATTCAGTAGATGATAATGAGATTCTTCCTGTGCTAAAGTTAAGCTACCAACATCTTCCTTTATGGTTACAAAGATGTTTTGTTTATAGTGCAATTTTACCTGACGATTATGAATTTAAGGAAAAGGAACTTGTTCTTCTATGGATTGCAGAGGGTCTTATTGGAGGAGCACAAGAGGGTGAGCAACTGGAAGATATAGGCAGTGAGGTTTTCCAACAACTATTGAAAAGGTCTCTGTTTCATCACTCAGATAGTCATGCTTCCAAATTTAGAATGTATGACCTCGTCAAAAGTAGGGCCCGATGGATTTCTGGAGAAACTAATTTTAGATTGTATGATGTGTTGGGGGTCAATGAGCAACCAAGAAGATTCAAAAGGCCTCGTCATTCTGGTACTTTAGCTAGTTGTGATGTTGAGCACTTAACGACATTCCTGCTAGGACTCATACGTAGTGATGATACCCATTACGTTACTGATCCACTTCTTTCAGATTTGCTACCAAAGTTTAAGAGATTGAGAGCATTATCTTTGGAAAAGAAAAATATTACGGAGTTACCCATTTCTGTTGAAGGTTTGAGACATCTAAGATATGTCAACCTTTCCAACACTTTGATCAGAAGGTTACCTGATTCAATATGTTCAATACTCATCTGGCAAATTTTACTATTAAGAGATTGCTCTAATTTGGTGGAGTTGCCTCCCAATTTGAAGAATTTGATCAATCTAAGGCATTTTGATATTACAGGTGTCAATCTGATAAGAGAGATGCCACTAGGAATGAAAGAGTTGGAATGTCTTAAAACATTACTCAATTTTATTGTTGGCAAAGGTTTGGGACTTGATTTGAAAGATTTGGAGAATTTAAAATATCTTCGTGAACTTTACATTTCAGGATTACATAACGTAATTGGTTCACAAGATACAAAGGACTCCATATTGGTTGATAAGGAGGGTCTAAAAGTTCTGGTGTTGGAGTGGGGCTCTCAATCGGATGACACACGAGATGAGTTAGTTGAAGAAAAGGTAATGGACACACTCCAACCTTACCAAAATCCTAAAGAACTTGTAATCAAAGGCTATGCTGGCACAAGATTTCCATCTTCTGTTGGAGATCCAAATTATTCAAACATAGTGGTGTTAACATTGGAAAGATGTGATAAATGCACAGTATTGCCTTCCCTTGGATGCTTGTCCTCAAGCACCACACCATTAAAGGAATGACAGGAATAAAAAGGGAAGGTTCTGAGCTTTTCGAAAAAGATTGTGATGAACACCAACCTTCCAGATTCACGTTGATAGTAAATAATAAAAGTAAAAGCAACCACTCAATCACAAGCAATACTCTTAATTGAAAAAACTGGAAGAAGCTATATTAATGAAAAAGAGTTTGTAATAGGGGTGANGTCTTCTTCTTCTTCATTTTTTTATATTTTTAGTCTTTCTAAATTTATGCTTCTACCCCTAGATTACAGGTAATCCCGCTAAACCCCTACCACATCAGCTTTTCTTTCAAATAAACCTCCAGATTTTGCCCCTTGTAACATGCAAACCCAGCAGCTTCCTTTTCTTGCAATTTCATTCCCAATAAAGCTTTTAAAAACTAACAGAAATCCCCTTCCATAAAAATAAAATCACACAAAATATGTAATATGTATTAGGATTAAAAACGGGGTTTCACAGTATATATAATATGCTACTTTAACTTGTTTCTCTATCAAGTTTGTTCATCCTCCGTTGGAAGGAGGTTTAGTGACAGTCAGTAATGTGCAGTAAGAGATGAGTTTAACTCTATTGATACAACAAAAATCAAATCATACACCTAAAATATCTGTTGCAGGCATATGATGAAGCTTAGTTCTATGGAATCCAATATCAGAGTGTCTGAATTAATTTTATTTAAATGTGTTTCCCACATTTGGCGTTGGAGCAAAGTCCAAAAGATTTGATTCCTAGATACCTAATTTTCTTTAAAGCAATTAATATATTATTATCTGAAATATTAAATTCTTTATTTTATCACAAATACTCTCCCCCCATTTGATGTCGAGGGCATACTGGATTGGTTCCTACCGATGCTTTAGGGCGTAAATTGACGGAAGGTCATCCTAGCATCAGCAGGGTACAGAACTGCATCCTAGATTGTTACTCTACTACCTTAAGTTTGAGGGGATGTTAATTGTATTATTATATTTGACTTAAGCCCACAGACAGGGTAGGGCTTCCTAGTTGGGTCTCCTTGTTAGAAGGTTTTTTTGTCGACATCACCAAGTTAGTAGGGTCATCATTCCTATTGAACAATAAATATGTTTACTATTTCAGACATAATAGAATAAACTCTTCTCACCAAAACAACTATTTCTATGAACTTTAGCTTGGTTTTATTTCTGGTTTGGGAATCTTTATTACTATACATTTGCAGCTATAATTTTTTTTTCTGCAAATTATGATGGACATATATCATATCAGAAAATTTTTGAGGAAAAACAAAGGACCCTGTGCTGGAAATTTCATGTTAAACTTTGATCTTGATGAATATATTTGGTCCTAGTTACAGTTTCTTGCAGTAACCAAGCGATTGAGTTCCAGATTCGGCATTTGCATAACTTCTATTTTAAAGTTCTTTAATTATCTAAAGATTAATTACCATATTACTCTTAATTAAGCTCCAACTAGCTAACTAGCATGAAGGGATTAGAGCTCAGTAATATGCATAACATATGGAGCTTAAATTTAATTTGCTTGTCCTTGTTGTTTCAGGCTTCTTGTGCTTTATTATCCATCTTTTCTAAAGCATCCACAGTTAAAAGAATGAATTCCTTTCTTCTTCTCCACTAAACCAATCACTTTTTCTTTTCCTTCTAAGCCAAAAAGAAAAAAATGAGTGGTTCTGGGCCGCGCTCAAAAAAGTCATCACAGTATTTTGTCCACAGATATTTCCACCTCTCTTATCAAACTCTCAATTATTTCGATTATTCTCTCATTAGGTTCTTACCAACTCCCTCTCAAACTCTACTTTTGCTTTCTTAGTGTTAAGGTAAGCACAATACTGGAAATTTACTTCTTTCTAAATCTGTTTTTTGAATTTTTATTTTCATATTTACATTTTGATGTATGCTTATCAGCATCTTCAATCTTCATACAATTAATATAAACTTAGATATATATAATATATGGATATAGATACCTGTTAACTGGATCTTGCCCCATTTTACACTTCTGTTGTGAGAGGATAATTATTGCAGAACATATGCACCATCAATATATTTATTTTAACTTTTTAACTGGACTTATGTTCATAAATAACTTAAATAAATCGCATTTTTCATGAGTAGATAATAATTAAATAACTATTACAAATTAAAATGATAGGAAAAAATGTTAAATATATGGGGTATCCTACATTCTTTATTTCTTCAAAACTCTGATCCAACACTCCACACGCTTCTCTCCCAAAACCCTTGATTACTCGCAGGAAGTAATCACTTTTCTCCTACAACCCTCTCAATCTCTCTAGCTACTCTCAATTACGTCTCATATTCTTTGGCGCTCTTACCAACTCCCTCAATTTCCATTGCTCTTCCTTTCTCAGTATTAAGGTAACCAGAATACTGCAAGTTTACTTACTTTACTTCTTTTAATTTGATGCATTATTTTCATATTTACATTTTTGATGAATGTTTATCAGCATCTTTATGCCGTTTTATAATTTTATTTTTTAATTTAAACCTCGATACCAATCTATTAATATATGTTGTGGGAGGATGGTTTTTGCAAAACTAGATGGGTTAATGTCATAATTAAATTAAACAGATTATGTTTTTCATGAATATTTAATTGAACATGATTCTTCATCCGAGCATAACATTTAAGCACTAGTGACCTGAAAAACACTCAAAAACATCCACGATCCCATAAAAGGCAATTGTGAAAATATTAAGCAACTTTACTAAATTAAGCATAATTTCCCACAATTAATCCCCCAAAAACCACTAACTAAATGTGTATTTTCAAGCTCTTATCAAAGACCAACTGATACGACTTCGCTAACCAAATCTTCTTTTTTTGGTAGAGATGATGATAAAGCCAAAATACTTGAAATGGTGTCAAGGGATAAACAAATTGATGACAAGTGTCATGTGATAGTCATCGTTGGCATGGGAGGAATTGGCAAAACAACACTTGCTCAGGAGGTGTACAATCACGAAGTGGTGGAGGATTTCAACCTAAAAGCATGGGTTTATGTTTCTAACGACTTTGATGTTTTGAGAATCTCAAAAGCAATTTTCGAGTCAATTACTCGCTCCTCCTGCAATCTAACAAATTTAGATCCTGTCCAGGCTGAATTGAGAGAGCTTGTACGAGACAGAAAATTCTTACTTGTCCTAGATGACGTTTGGAGTGCGGATTAAGACAACCCATATATATTTTATTATAATTATTAGTCTTTCTTTAATTGATAATAATTAGCACATCTACATATGGTTTGATTTTAGTGGTTGGGTTACTTTTTATTTCATAGCTTTATTGCCTTATCTATGACTTTAAATCTAACAAAGTGCTCACCCTACATCCTCCTTTTTTACTTTGGAATTTAAGGCAACCTTATCATCAAAGGTCTTGATTGGTGTAATGTAAAACACCCAGTAATTCCTGTGTGCTTTAATTTACTACCTTGGTTCTCGGGCATTCTCAGTTACTACTCATATTCTTTCAATCAGGGGTGTTCAAAAGTGGTTAACCGAACCGGTTAATCGCTTTTCTAAACCAAACTGGGTTTTCAGTTCGAGAAAATTTTCAAACCGATTTTAGAGAAAATCAGTTTTTCAGTTAACTGAAAAACTGGTTAACCGTTTTAAAAAAAGCGGTTAACCGGTTTTGAACCGATTTTCCCTTTTTTTTGATAAATTTTTTTTCTTTTTAATTTTGTCCTAAATTAAATTATAAATATAGACAATACATTGGGAACTAAGAAAAGAATTTTGGGTTGGGATTTTAGATTGAGTGAATTAGAGATTTATTTTAGTTTAGGTTATTATTTATTTATTTAATATAATATATATATATATATATATTTGAAAAACCGGTTTAGAAAACCGGTTTTCGGTTAACCGTTTCTAATTTTTCCCGACCCGGTAACCGAACCGAAAATTTGGTTTTTTGAATTTTTCGAACCGTAACCGAACTGTTTTTTCGGTTAACCGGTTTTTCGGTTTGGTTACTGATTCGGTTAGCGGTTTGGTTCGGTTTTTGCATTTTTTGGAACACCCCTACTTTTAACCCCTTACCAACTCTTATTTTCTGGGTGTTAAAGGTAGGCACATTAACTACACATTATTGGAAGTTTTTTTTTTTTTTTTTTTTTTTGAATTTTGGGCCCGGTCCCAAAAACTAGTCCTTGGGAGGATCGATCTTACAAGGACCAATCCAGGGACCAGACTGGGCCCTAGGGAGAGGTGATCAGGCCAAGGCTAGTCCCTCCTCTGGGATTTCAAAAACCCTCTTATCCAATGACAAAAATCTCCTAACAAATATCTAAAACCTCCTGTAATATATGAAATACATAATAAGTTTAGGGATTAAAAAAATTTAAAAAAAAAAAAAATTGACCGTTGTTGTGGGGAGGTGCAAAAAGTTTTTCTATTTTTCTAAAATTTGATTTTTTTCTTAATTATTAACAACTAATTATTTATTAATTTATACATTTTTTTTCTTTTGCTTAAAAAACTAAATTTTTTCTTTTATTTAATAAACTGATTTTTAATTAAAAAAATAAAATTATAACTATTGTTTAGAGGTAACTGATTTTTAATAGAAATCGAAGTTAGAAGTTTAAATGTCTAATTTCCAAGTTAGAGAAGGTAACTGTCATCTATTTGTATTTTAGGGGTATAAGTGATATTGACATATCCTGTAATAACATTTATGCGGACTGACGAGAATGCCCTTTTACGGTCTAAATTAACGTCAGAATTTTAACTACCCGTGGAAATCTTTTTTTTTTTTTGGTTAAGATTGTAGGTCAAAAATGTTTTTCATTACGTAGATTTATTACAAATTTCTCTACGCTTTTGTTTGTTGATCTACCATCTTCATATTTACATTTTGATGCATATACGAAAATGTTTAATGAATCATCCACGAAGATAATCAGGCTTTTGCTCTGTCTCATCCTTCTCTTTTGTGTGGATATAGTTGTAGGAGAAATTAATTCATGGATCGGGACTTGTTTTAATTACCTTAGATTTTATTTTATTATTTTTTTTTTTAATGCAGGATTATTGGAGTGATTAGTTGCGTGAATACTATGTTGAATTGGAGGAAAGCACTATTGATGTCTAAAGTTCTTTGTGTTTTTTATTTTGCAGAATAAATCTTAAAGACTCTGTTTCTTTTTATTTTCGATGCCCTTTCGATGGAATATCACAGTGAAGATTTAACATATTTACTCAACTTTCAGAGAAACTGTCATTGAACTCTCTTCTCTTCCATCAACTTTCTCAAATTCTTTTTCAGATTTTCTCAGCAACCAAACGGGTATTTCTCAGAAATTCCTGAAAAGCATTGCTCCGATACTATCTTATTGGAAAATCTTTTAACGAGTGAAAACACAAGAAAGGTGAGCCTGTGCACAAAACAGAACTGAAACTCTGTAGAAATCACAGGAAGCAGAGGATGGATATTCCTTGTGTTACAGGACATTAGCATTATCCAATCCAAGACCGGCAGCTGCATGGCCCCATGAATTACTTTTTCTTTTCCTTTTAAACCAAAAAGAAAAAAAAAAAAAGATCGGTTCTGAGCCGCCCTCAAAAGAGTCAGTCAACAGGGTATCTTTTGTACAGATATTTCCACCTCTGTTATCAAACCCTCAATTATTTCTCTTATTCTCTCATCACGCTCTTACCAGCTCTCTCTCAATCTCAAACTATACTCTTGTTTTCTCAGTGTTAAGGTAAGCACAATACTCTAGCGGCGCCTGCAGTCGACAATCATGTGAAGCTCCACTAAGTCCAAGGTGTTACTGGTAATCACCAATTTTTATAATATCATGACTCTGCATTATAGAATATATGTATGTACGTTTATCACCATCCATCTTAACATCATTTTATTCATTCATATGTGTCCATCTTCACTTAATTTCATTTAAACTCTTATGAAAGAAATTTTTTTTTTTTTAAGATTGTGGGAGGAAAAATGTATATTAGCCTATTCCTCTAATCTCTTACCAACTATTTCCCGTCATAATTTGTGGAGTGTGATATAATTATTAACATATTTATCTACTTTCAGATTATTATTTTTTTGAAATTTTACCATATATTTTTCATAGAATAACCTTAAAAATGTCGTAATAAGGAAACAAATTAATTTTGTATGTGTATATATATTTGAGGACAGAGTGTCAGTAGCTTTAAAATTTTTAAAGCATACATAAAGACGAATATATAGGTTCTCACTCTGTTTTTCTCATATTCCCCTCTTTCTCTGACAGTTCTACCGGAAATTCATGGATCCGGAACTCAGTGCGGTTCTCACTAGGTTAGTGAACACACTGCAAGAGCCATCCCCAGAGTTGAAGCAACTTGCAGCAGTTGCAGGGCAAAAGGGCCTATTTTTAAAGATAAATCAGTGGACTACAGTGTTGCAGATTTTTAGGAAAGTTATCGAGAAAGACTGGCTACTATGGAACGTGGATGCGAAAAGGTGGCTGGATGACGTCAAACAGTTGGTTTGATGATGTGGAGGAGATACTGGTTGAGATTTCCAAACAAGCTTCACGCTTCAAACCGATGGCTCAAAGTCAGACTACCACGGGCAAGAGAAGTTCATTAAAGGGCCTCATCCCTGCTTGTTTTACAGGTTCGAACACAGGTGCTGTTACGTTGTTTGATGATAATCTAAGTTCCAGAATAATTGATATAACTAGCCGATTGGAAAAACTTAATGCTGAGAGATATATACTTGGACTGAGAGTGATTGGTAGACGTGAATTGCAGGGTCGGTTTTCACAGATCAAAACTATTTATGGGCGAGATGAAGATAAAAATAAAATACTAGAAATGGTGTTAAGGGATGAAGTGAGTGATCATGCCAACTTTAGAGTAATACTCATCATTGGCACAGCAGGAGTTGGAAAAACAACACTCACTCGACTTGTGTATGACGATAAGGCAGTGGAAGACTTCAAACCAAGAGCCTGGGTTTCCCTCTACAAAGATTCCAATGTTTTCAAAATCTCCAAGGCCATTCTAGAGTCAGTCACTTCTAAATCCTGCAATCTAAAGGATTTAGATGAAGTGCTGCTTCAACTGAAAGAAGTAATTTTTGGGAGGAAATTCTTGTTTGTCTTAGATGATGTTTCGACAGAGAATTATGGTTTGTGGGGAACTCTAAAGTCTTCCTTTATGGCTGGAGCACCGGGAAGCAAGATAATAGTGACAACCGGCGAAGTAGATATTGAGTTTCCAGTCAATCTCAGTATTCAACCTTATACATTAGAGGTATTATCAGATGAAGCTTGCTGGTCCGTCTTTTAAATGCATGCATTTGATCGGTGGTATATTGATTTACAATTAATTCGTGAAAAGGTTATTCCTATGTGTAAAGGCTTACCCTTGGCAGCGAGTATTCTTGGTGGCCTTATAAGCTGTAAGCGAGATGATGAATGGGAATGTGTATTGAACACTAAACTATGGGATTTAGCAGATGATAATGAGATTCTTCCCGTACTAAAGTTAAGCTACCAACATCTTCCTTTATGGTTACAAAGATGTTTTGTATATTGTGCAATTTTACCTGACGGTTATGAATTCGAGGAAAAGGAACTTGTTCTTCTATGGATAGCAGAAGGTCTAATTGGAGGAGCACAAGAGGACGAGCAAATGGTATGTGAGCAATTGGAAGATAGAGGCTGTAAGATTTTCCAAAATCTACTGGAAAGATCTCTTTTTGAAAATTCAAGTAGTCATGCTTCTAAATATAGAACGCATGACCTTGTCAAAACTATGGCCCGATGGATTCATGGAGAAACAAATTTCAGATTAGAAGATGTGTCAGGGGTCAATGAGCGACCAGAATGTGCCAACAAAAATAAATTTGACTCATTCTATGATGTTGACAACTTACGGACATTTATGCCAGGACTCCTATGTAATGATGGCAGTCATCACATCACTGATGCGCTCCTTTCTGATTTGCTACCAAAGTTCAAAAGACTGAGGGCGTTATCTTTGGCAAAGCATAGTATTACGAAGTTACCCAGTTCAGTTGAAGGTTTGAGATATCTAAGATATGTCAACCTCTCCAGCACTATGATCAGAACGTTACCTGATTCAATATGTTCACTACCCATCTTGCAAATTTTGCTATTAAGGGATTGCTCTCATCTGGTAGAGTTGCCTTCCAATTTGAGGAAATTGATCAATTTATGGTATCTTGATATTACCGGTGTCAATTTACTCAGAGAAATGCCATTGGGTATGAAAGAGTTGACATGTCTTAGAACATTACTGAATTTTATTGTGGGCAAAGGTGTAGGATCTGATTTAAAAGATTTGGAGGACTTAAAATTTCTTGGTGAGCTTTATGTTTCAAGATTACAGAATGCAACTAGTTCACAAGATACAAAGGACTCCATATTAAAAGATAAGAAGGATCTAAAAGTGCTGGTACTAGAGTGGGGCTCTCAATTGAATGACACCCGAGATGAGTTGGTGGAAGAAAATGTACTGGCCAATCTACAACCTCACCAAAATCTGAGAGAATTCACAATCAGAGGTTACGGTGGCGCTAGATTTTCATCTTGGGTTGGAGATCCAATGTATTCTAATTTAGTGGTCTTAACATTGGAAAGATGTGAAAAATGCACAGTATTGCCTTTGCTTGGATTGTTGAGCTCGCTTGAACACCTCACTATTAAAGGAATGACAGGAATAAAAAGGATAGGTTCTGAGCTTTTTGGAAAAGATTGTTCACGTCCTTTTAAATCGCTGAAGACTCTTTGTTTTGAAGATTTTCAAGAATGGGAGCGCTGGGACTCTGTTGCAGAAAATGAGCATGTTATAGTATTCCCTTGCTTGCGTGAGCTATCCCTTGTGAAATGCCCCAAACTCCGTGCAAAACTACCTGAACATCACCTTAGGTCGTTGAAGAAACTTAGAATTCGGGAATGTGAGTTGTTAGATGTTTCGTTCACAAGGCTCCCACTGTTTTGCCACGCAGAGGTAGACGGATGTAAGATGGAGTGCGGAGAAGAATTTGTCTATACAGATAGAGTCCTCCTTAGAAGAATACACCGGTCAGGTTGTCATTTTCTGGAACTACTTATATTTTTAATTTTCATCTCAGTATGGGCTCTTTCTTACTAAATAACATTTTATCTCCTCATCTATTTGAAATAACTAGCGACATAGAGCCGACAGATGGATGCAATATATCCTAGACCTGTAGTGAAGATGACTCTTCGACTTCTGACTAGGTCGGATTTCCCAACTTCTTTAAGGTAAGGTGGTCATTTTCTGAACCTTTTTTATTTTCATCTCAATAAATGCTCTTTCCTGTTGAATTGAATTTTTGTTTTATATTTTAGTTACTGAAATATCTACTTATAGACTTATTTTGATAGATCTGACCACTATTAGTTTGATATTAAGAAGTTAATTGCTAAGTGAAATATCCCGAAATGCTCTGCTTGCAAATTGGAGGGAATGCGACTCCCTATATTGCAAGTTTATTCCAAAACAAGTTTTGTTATTTATACTCAAATCTTTTGATTTTAGTGAATAATGTGTTACTCTACTCTAATGAATCACATGCTTTCACAAATCACAATCATATCTTGCTTCATTATAACCAATGTCTTTTGCTTTCCTGTCATCTTTCATTTTCTAATTACTTTCTATATATCTTACTGTCTTGTTAATGTTAGTGTGAGCCTTTAGTTTCAGAATTTCAGGTGCATGTTTGGTTTATTTATTGATTTTTTTGGTTGACTTACAAACAACTGAGGAATTCAAGTTTGTAACTCAGGATTTGCATACATTGGTTTTTTATAATTTGTATGATCTAGAGATTTCAATATTGTTTTAATCTATATATTCTATGTTTAATTACCTTAGTTTTGCTTTTATGCAGGCCCTGTCTTGTCGGAGCAATTTCTTGCAGGAAAACAATGTTCTATTAGAGGAACGCAACTAGAGATATCTAATGTCTTTTCTTTGAATAAATGTAAAAGACTGTTTTTCTTTTTCATTTCTATCTATGCATTTACTTTTGTTTTTGTTGCTGGATTTATGATGATATTATATTAGTCTTTCTTAAGGGTTGTTTAATTTTAATTTGTCAGATGGTACTTTGACTTATCAATTCTAATATGTTGATCGCTGATTAAGTTGAATGAATATAATAACTTCTTGTATCAGAAATTTGACAGCTGAATATAATAAAAATGGGAGGGCAGTAGCAGTATATGACACGACCCGCCTCAACCCTCCTTACCCCATAAGCTCCGGGCGCACCTATGAGACTCGGGCGGCCGAGACGTGCCGTGTGGGAATCTAAAAACCTGTATTCTAAATACGTTTTTCATAAAAAACATTCGCTTGGATTCGTTTTGAAAGCATAAACACATAAGATATATATATGTATACATTTGAAAATCTGAAAGCTAACTTGTACGTTCATAAAATCCAAAAACGGATGGTATCAGATATTCATATCTTTTATAATCAACACAGGGGATACAAAGGATTACAACATAATTCGGATAGCGATAACAAGCATGATATTTTTACACCATGAGGAATCGATGACGTAAGGGCCCAACCTCAAAGGAATCACTCCTCAGCACGACTCTTCCTGTGAACCTGGGGAAAGGGGGTCTAAAAAAGGGGTAGCTGAAATACTCAGTGAGTGGGGGATTGGGGGAGTTTGCAAAACTCTTCAACAATAGTCATGGTATGCAATAGTTCTTATGAAATTCAGAAAACAACATGATTCTATGAACGTGTTATGAAGTAACTAAATCATTCCTGTATGCATGTATAACTCGTTTTCTAAAATTGTTCTAAGTCTACTGTAATCTCATCATTCAAGCTGAAACAAATTCTGAATTATAGCTCATCATTGAATGCTTAAAGTTCTTTTTTCTGGAAACTTAAAACATAACTATAAGTGCTTATGCTTCTGGGAACAATATTTCCTGCAAGGCATGCTGCACCATCTATGTCATCCCTCAAGAATGCATATGATCATGAAAATAATAACTCTACTAGTCATGCTGCAACATCCAAACCATCATTCATGAACACTCATGGTTCACAAAACAAAATCTGGTAACTAAATTTATAACTGCTGTGATGATATAAAATTGAAAACTGATTTTTCTGAAACTATGCACTGATAACTGATTTTGGAATACTGTAAACTATAAGCTGATATCTTATTTTTAAAACTGTGGCTAATATTGAGGCTCTCTTAACATTCTTAAACTCATTTTGAGGCTATCGCTCGTAGCAGATACTAAAACTGAATGTGATTTTTGAACATTCTAAAACTGATTCTGATGTTATAACAGAAAACTCTCACCGCAACTAGTACCCTCGGGAAATCTGTCTTACCTGGTGGGCGTCCCACACACAGGCAGAGCAAGGGATGTACCTGTCATACCCGGCAAGATCTGTCATCGCGCGGGCAGAGCCACTGAAACTGTCATACCTGGCGGACCACTCAACGCCCAGGCAGAGCCAATAAAATCTGTCATACCCGCAAGATCTATCATCGCACGGGCAGAGCCACTGAAACTGTCTTACCTGGCGGACCACTCAACGCCCAGGGCAGAGCCATAAAATCTGTCATACGCATGCGCAGAGCCAAATCGAAACTGTCATACCCGGCGGGATCCTGCATCGCTCGGGCAGAGCCAAAAATCTGTATCTCTGGGGATGGGTACTTTGTAGGTGGTTTTAGCACCATAACACTCATGCATAATCTCAAGTAACATGTAAGTCAAGAGCATATTTCAACAATCTCATCGCATAATCTCAAGTAACATATATAAGTCAAGAACATACCACATATGTGCTTAAAATCATGCATATATGACAAAATATTCAAAAATCACATCCAGGGGTGAACTGAAAATTTCCAAACATGTTTTAAAACTGACAGTTTAACCCAGATAAAAATTACTTTCAACATCACATTACCATAGCATATGTCCGACACTAACCACATTTCATTAAAAGCAATCATGCCAAAACGTATGATTCCATGCAAAATGGGGTAGAATGCAAGTTTTAAAACTTACTTTCAAAACTGACGAATGCACCCCTTCTCTTTTCTTTTTTACCAAGAAACCATTTACCACATCACGAACCTCAACCCGTATACAATTCAACCAATTCTCTACTCTTAACAGCAACATTTTATTCTATAGCATGAACACATATAAATTCTATATACCAAACTTCATCAAAACATTAAAATTAAATCACAAGTTAACATGCAAGCATGGATTTAAGGATTTGGAAGAAGATTTGGTTTAATCCACTCACCAAATCAGCTGTAATTTCAATGGGGCATTCAAGACAAAATATGTTGATCCATAATATTTTCAAGTCATTTCAAGTCAATAACTATTTAAAACACAATTTTCTTTCAACTCATTTAAATCTGCCAACTGTTTCCAGAATTGAGGTTACTGACTTGTAAAATTCATAACAATTCACCCTTAATCTAAACCTCATGAAACTCTCCAGAATTAAACTAGGCACATATGGATTCACCAGAATTTAAAATCACTCAATTTGGATAAGTATAAGTGCATTATTTCAGTTCTGAAAAATGCATGCTCTACAGAAAACATGAAATTCCAGAATTTCATAGCAGAATTCAAATTCATTAAAAATCCAATACTTCGAATTTTGGGTGAAATCAATTTTCAACCAATCTCTAATAAGTCTAAAACAAATATCTGAAATTTAGCTTCATTTGCAAACCCGAAACATATATAAAATTTTCGGAAGTTCGGACTGTCAGAATTTCACAGCATAACTTTTTATAACAAAAAACATACCTTTATAACTCTTGGTTCTTTAGGATCAACATATATGCTCTACCCGTATAAAATTGTTGCATTAAAACTCCAATTTCAGTTAACCACAATAGTCAGTCACCATATACAACATACAACTTCCAATTTTCTTTTCTATTCGCAAACATTTGTATATCATAAAATGCACACATGCATGCCAAGTTCAGCAAGCTTCAAATTCAGCTCAAAACTCATCAAAAGCAAAAATGGCCAACTATATTTAACATGCAAACATAAATCAAAATTTTTTAAGAAACTTTCATTTGATCCACTCACAAATTCAGCTCAGCCGAAACTCCAATGGCAGTCAAACACCTCTCTTCCGTACCTCACCCAAACTCAGATCAAACACTCATTCTTAAAGCAAAGAAGAACACTTAAAGAAATTGCTTCCTAACCCCATGCATGCACTTTCCGAACCCAGATTTTGAGTGATCTGCTTCAAATTCCCTCCCTATTTTTGCTGTACTTCACTCTCACTCCTTCTCTCTCACTTTACCTCTCGGTCTCCACTCTTACTCTACCTCTCGGCAGCTCTCTTCTTCCTTACTCTCCTTTCTTTTCCTTCTCTCTTTTCTTCTCTTCTCCTCGTTTTTTTTTTTTTTTTTTTTTTTTTTCTTGCTCTGCCATCGTTTTTCTCTCCTCTGCTCACGTCTTCTTCTTCTTCATTTTTTTATTTTTTAGTCTTTCTAATTATGCTTCTACCCCTAGATTACAGGTAATCCCGCTAAACCCTACCCATCAGCTTTTCTTTCAAATAAACCTCCAGATTTTGCCCCTTGTAACATGAAACCCAGCAGCTTCCTTTTCTTGCAATTTCATTCCCAATAAGCTTTTAAAAACTAACAGAAATCCCCTTCCATAAAAATAAAATCACACAAAATATGTAATATGTATTAGGATTAAAAACGGGGTTTCACAACTTTCCCCCCTTAATGGAAATTTCGTCCTCGAATTTACTTGCCAAACTAAAAAGTATGGATAATGAGTCCTCTTATATTCTCACATTTGCGTATTACTCTTCAATTGCATGCTCATTCCGTGGCACTCTAATACAAGGATATTCTTATACTGGCCACTTATGGTCTATGATCTAAAACCTTAATCGACCACCCTTTATACATCAAACCCTCTCTTAACTTTGAATTTCAAGCTCTCTCTCATACTTGTTGTTCCATTATTACTCTTATTATTGTCTCTATCTTCAATTACCTTCAATTTCCCTTCGATAAACTCTTCACATAAAATCGTCTCTCATGCAATGCTTATTATCTTAGAAACTTTTCGTTCAGTTCTTCTTCATCAACACTAACATGAGCATGTATTCTTTATAAGGTTATGGGCCCACTACACTCCTGCTGAGCCACTCTGATCGACTCATCCAAAACATAGCTCATCCATAATTAAAACTTATGCCTGAAACCCATGACTTGGGGTGATGTAATAGGTCCTTCTATCATCTCATCTCATCTGTATGCTCATTTTTCTTCCTTATACTTTAGGAGCTACGAATTCTATCACAGGACTCATGTGAGGTTGGCCACGTCGACTCATGCAGATGCAATTAAAATCTCTTTCTTAAAACAACAGCACTCCATGCAAAAAAATTTCCTTCTTTCCAAAAATGCAAAAACCTTTATGCATGCATCATGAAAACGTCCGAGAATCTAAAACCTTGCTCTGATACCAATTGACACGACCCGCCTCAACCCTCCTTACCCCATAAGCTCCGGGCGCACCTATGAGACTCGGGCGCCGAGACGTGCCGTGTGGGAATCTAAAAACCTGTATTCTAAATACGTTTTTCATAAAAACATTCGCTTGGATTCGTTTTGAAAGCATAACCACATAGATATTATATATGTATCATTTGAAAATCTGAAAGCTAACTTGTACGTTCATAAATCCAAAAACGGATGGTATCAGATATTCATATCTTTTATAATCAACACAGGGGATAAACATAGGATAAAACAAATTCGTTAGCGATAACACAGATATTTTTACACACATGATGAATCGATGACGTAAGGGCCCAACCTCAAAAGGAATCACTCCTCAGCACGACTCTTCCTGTGAACCTGGGGAAAGGGTCTAAAAAGGGGTGAGCTGAAATACTCATGGAGTGGGGGATTGGGGAGAGTTTGCAAAACATCTTCAACAATATCATGGTATGCATATTTCTTATGAAATTCAGAAAACAACATGATTCTATGAACGTTTATGA